AAGAAAACGAATTGAACTTACTAAAAAAACCATCAGCTTCTCTTAACTGCTCTAAAAAATAAAACAAAACTTGCTTAAAATGTTCTAAAAAGACTAATGACAAAATGAAACAGTTTACTAAAAAAGAAACATTTTACTAAAAAAACTATTTTACCAAACATTTTAGTTCTAACTTGAAAAAAACAATAAAAAAATAAAAAAACAGGCTATAAAAATTAGAAAAAATAAATATAAGCCTCAACAAACTAACAATTATTTAATTTTTTTTTTTAAAACAAACAACATCAGTTCTTTTTGAAAATAAGTATATCAGCTCCAATTTGCTTGCTAATTTTACTCGATAGACCGCGTGGAGTATATAACTGCGCTTAGAAAAGTCTAGAAACAACTTAAAAACTAAGAAATAGTGTATTTTACACAATGCAGAACCGTAATTAACAAAACGAACAATAGGCATAACAATGCGTAACTATGCGCACTAATATTTATTGCCGTATTAATATTTAGATACATAAGCTTACTTTTGCTTTTAAATATAGTATTTTTTGGTTACATATAATATTTTTATATATAATAAATATAATAGTTATGATTTTTAAATATAATAGCTTTATATATTTCTGCTAAACTATTTACATTAAAATCATAGTTCAAATTTGTTTTCTTTGAATGGCTTTGGTAAAACTTTCACTTCCATCTAAATATTTGATTTTATCTTTTTGTATTCCTCATATTATTTATTCTATTATCGTATTTTACTTTATAATAAAACTTTTATTTTATATAATTAAAGTAAATATTATAATATTTTAGATAAAATAATTAGACTGAAATGAATTAATCTGCCTAAAATAAAATATCCATGCAACGCTGTTAGACCATATAATCACAGCAAATTAATGACTGTCATACCGCTTGTTAAGAAAGAGGAGTAGTACACACCTTATTAAAGTTTCCGGGCCAAAAAGGGCAAAGTTTTAACAGCTCCAGATGTTGTCGCAAGTTTGCAAGAAAAAGAGAAAAACTAAACTAAAAAGAAGACTATATCAGTGAGAAAAAGAAAACTGTTAGTTATTACCGATACAGTTTGACCTTTAAAGTTCATGAAAAGCAATAAGATATACGTATCAAATATATTATAACTATCCATATTACCCCACCCCACACTTCTAAAAAGTTTACGATTTCATAGCAACCTTGAAGTTGGTTATGACGTATTTAAGTCAAATAAGAAAATTAAAGCAATAGCTGGTTATCTGCATAATAACTAAATAAAGTTTGTGTTCTAAAATAGATTTTTTTTCAGTAGCACAAGACGGGATTGATATCGGGACAAGCATTGCTCAGATACAATATAATTTATTTTTAAACGCAAATGGATATATATATATATATATATATATATATATATATATATATATATATATATATATATATATATATATAATATATATATATATATATATATATATATATATATATATATATATATATATATATATATATATATATATATATATATATATATATATATATATATCATATCATATCATATCATATCATATAGTCATTTATATTAATAACAATTTTATTAGTTGTAAATTTTTGCTTTTAGGTTTAAGGAAAATAAGATATAAATTATAGAAAATAAGATATAGAACAAAAAAATCAAAAAATATTTCTCTAGGTTCTCCTTTCAATGAAAACTATGATATAGCAATAAATGAAAACTATAATGTAGTGTTAAATAAATTTTAAAACAAGATTATAAAAATAATTTGTTTCTATATAAAATGTGAGGTTTTTCCTCGTAACACGGTATTTATATTGTTTTGTTAATGAGCATTTAGTCGGATCATGAGTTAATAAAAATAAGAATAAACTAGTTTTATTTTATAGGTTTGGGATTTCAACTGCTACAAGTGCAGCAAATACTAAAATTTATCTGCAAGATTTTATTGAAGCAGGGTTTCTTCTTGTGATTCAGGTTGCCATTTTACCCTCATTCTTATTCACCCAGCCAGCTAAAAAGGTTACTAAAGGTACTTATTTGTTGCTGCTAAAAAAGAATCTTAGAGAGCCATGTTTAGTATTAGTAGAAGATAGTGCTTCAGTTTAAACAGACTAAAAAAGTGGTATTGTAGCACTTTTTGAAAAGCTTTTAGATCACAAGTGTCCTAGCGCCATATGCAAGTTTCAATCAAATGAGTTTCTCTTTCGGCACCTAATTGACAAAATTGTAAGACCAACATCATTTAATATTGGATTATTGGATCCTGTGGAAAAATCTAGTGTGAAAATGGTGAAGTAGAACAAGCTATTTTACTTGTTCACTCATTAAAAACAAATTGCTGTTGCTAAGAATAAATCTTTTTATTCCTTCTGTTAAAATTTATACTCAAACTACTGAACCTAATGTAAAACAAGTGACAGCGGCCATATCGGTAGTTCGGCTAGATGCTAGAGATGTCTATGTTAGAGCTAGAGTTGAACACAGAGAGTTGTTACCTGTGTTTAAAACAAAAAAAAGAAATTTAAGCAGTTTTATATTTCAACAAACCTGAAAAAAATTATTTTATTTTATAATAAAAGAATAGTTTGTATCAAAATGTTGTTTGGGTAAATACTAAATAAATGTGAAAGAGTAAACACGCTTTCATTTTTCAAAGTTTGTATTAATATACTTCTAATTGTGTTCGTATTATGTTGCCAACATCAAACTATTTCAAAACAATGTTTTAGTTTTCTCATTTAACCTAAAATAACTGATGACAAAAGAAGGAGACGTTAGAAAAAATATTTTGTACAAATATTTTGGAAAATCTGAATAGAAGCTACAATTCAGTTGCAAAAAAAATTGAAAATACATCCATGCACCGTTAGTCATGTTATTTAACGTTTTCCTAAACAAATTTCATCCAACGCAAATCTAGTAATCAAGGAAAGAAAGTTTTTTAAGATATAAAACTGTTTAACACTTTTACGAATAATCCTACTCTCTCAATCCTAGTCTCTCAATCCTAGTCTCTCAATCCTAGTCTCTCAATCTTACTCTCTCAATCCTAGTCTCTCAATATGGGAGCTGAAAAAAGGAAAAATCTTATAGTTTTTTTGTCTAAGTTCAAATAGTTTTCAAATCAAAAAAAGTGCTGAAATTAAAAAAAAAAAAAAAAAGTGCAAGAACCCTCTGAAAAAAGGTTTTATGACAACTAAATTTCTAAAAATTTATAAATTATTGAAGATGATAAAATCTATATGAAGTACAATTATCAGCCAATCCCTGGTGCTGTTTATTGTAATGCCGAATAAAGAGGAAAAGCAGATAAGAAAATTTAACACGCAAAACATCATAACCTCGTTAAAAAAGTCTTGGTTTGGCATGCTATTTGCAGGTATAACAAATAATCAGCACCAACGTTTATGAGTCCTCACTTTCTGATAAAATATATGTTTAAGAGTATATACAAATACGTCTTTACCTCTTACTAATTCACATGATAGTAGACATGTGTTCAGGTCTGATTTAACATCAAGTCGTTATAGTAAACTGAATTGGGATGATATAAACAAAATGACGTGAAAGTTGAGTCTAAAATAGCAAATGCTCTAAACTGCCTATAATTCCAAAATATTGCAATGTACTGAGTAATTATTAAAGAAAAAATTAAAAAAAATAAAAACTGTGCAGAAATGTTGAAAATTTAAAATTTTCTTTTAAAAAGCATCAAATAGCTTTGTTTGTTATTCTATGCGCAAGCTTATGTGTACCACCTAAACAAAAGTTCAAATTTTTATTTTATGCCCATGTAAATAAAGTAATTTCTTTAAAATATTTTATTTTCTTATAAAAATCTATTACAATTAACACTTAGTTCTAAATAAAAGTTGATAAGTATCTTTTTTTTCTACTTTCACACTTAATTCGTGTACACGCTTTATATTAAAAGAATAACCACCTGTTATTTAGTGTGACCATGTCTCCGAAACTTCCTCTATTTTGAAAACTTATGTTTTCTAAAATAGAATTAGGGTTATTGGCAAATTCTTTGATCATTAAATTGATTAAGCCGCATTAAAAACTAAAAGCTCCTTAACTAAACTTCCCCCTTCCCCTGCTACTCTGAAAAAAGTGTTGTTAGAATCCATACAAAATAATAACAAAATAATAACAAATATCATACAAACTTGTAATCTTAAATATTATTTTCATTTAATATTGTATAATATTCAAAATAAAGGACATGAAAAATACGTGACTAATGAGATCTCATATAGTATTGTTAACATATAAAAGTAAAAATTCAGGTTTTTTTTTTTTTAATTTTTAATTTTAATTCACCTCCTCAAGGCCGAGAAGGCCACTACAGACGAGGAGGCTACTTATTTGTGGCTATAACCCTCTCTCAACTCTATAACTCCGAAACACGAACCTTGACGAACAAAGCCGCTGCGCGGAGAAACGAGTTGAGCGTGGTACTACCAGGGACGTGGTGGGGATCGAACTCGGAACCACTCGTTTATGAAGCGAGCGCTCTACCACTACACCACTACCGTATTTATATATACCATAACTTCGTCCGATCAAAAGAATATTTTTCGGAAATCCTCTTTGAAATTTGATTTTACCGAAGAGTTCACTTTTTTCTAACCTTTTAGAAGGATTAAAATTTCTTGCGGTACCCTATCAGATAATTAGAAAGTTCAAGTTTTAAGTTGATGCAAAGGTTATGCATAGCTAGCAAAAAATCACTTTAACAAAAAAAATTTTTTTTGTTGTTTATTTTTGCTGCGCCAACTTTTTTGCAGTTTTTGTTATTTATAATTTTAGTTTTTATGTTAGATAACGTTTTATATAGTGTGTTTGCTTTTGTTTCATTCAAGATTCAAAATACTTTAACAAATGTTTTATTGCAAATAAATAATCAGGTTTCATTATTTTTATTTTCTATACTTCTATTTTAATATATTTGAAAAAAACTTTATTGACTTTTTTTATTTAGAAAATTTACATTTCTTCAAAGCAAAAAATGACTCTCAATATTTAATACTGATATACACGCCTTTCTTCCGTTCATTTCCATGGAAGTTCTTTATTCCGAGCAGCTGTAACTTCAATACCTCAATTTTTCAAATAACATACGAAAAAGAAAATTTCGATAAAAGTGATTTAGTATTGTTTCATTCACGAGATATGCCAGTAACCTCAGAACTTGAATGCCTCTATTCTTTTAAGAAACAATCTCAATTATGGATTTATTTTACTCTTGAGTCTATATTACGTAATCCACCAGTCTTTAACATTAATAGTTTTTTTGACATGACTGCTGTGTATGGAACAGCGGGTGACATTTATATGCCTTACAGATTTCACAAAAAAGCTAAAAACAAAAATAGATATATTAAAAAAAATTACTTTGCAAACAAAACAAAGGAAGTTGCATGGTTGGTCAGCCGATGCGATACTCCTGAAAGAAATGAATTGGCAAGTAAGCTAATATCTTATGGTGTCCAAATCGACATACTTGGTAAATGTTCTTACCTTTTCAAACCGTTAAAACCTTGGTCTTTTTCTGTTTCTTCTGTTTGGTCTGCTTGCCATGGTAGATCCTGCAATCTTGATTTAAAAAGTTATAAGTTTTTTTATGCTGCAGAAAACTCATTATGTGATGGTTACATAAGTGAAAAGTATTGGGAACATCCCTTTAACCATGATATGATTCCCATTGTGTTAGGTGGATCTAACTACTCCGACCCAAAATTAGCTATTCCAGGATCTTTTATTGACGCAATGAGCTTTTCTTCTCCTAGAGCACTTGCAAAACACATTTTAGCTGTTAGTAAAAATGCAAAAAAATACAACTCATATTTTAAATGGAAAAAACGTTGGACACTTGATTCAGATAACATTTATTGTTCATTTTGTAGAACTCTTTTAAATGGAATTAAACTTCGAAAGAATACTCTTTCCTTAACAATGAATATGGATAAGTGCTCTAAACCAAAACTAAAGTTTTATAACTGGATTAATAAAGTGATGTAAAAAATTTAAAGTGTTTTTATTTTATTTTAACTTTAGATAAGTTTTTTTTATTGTTTCAGTTGATTAATATCAATTAGGAGGGTTCTTGCTGGGAATTTCTTTATATTTCATATTTCCCTTTTTTCCGGAAAAATTACCATTAGTTCCCGGAAAAAAATAAAATCAAAGTATTACTTGTGTATATACTTTATTATTTTATGATACTTATTTATTCAATATAAAAATATATTAATGTCCACAAAGCTATATAATGTGTATAATCTGAATTTAGAAGTCACCTATAATCATGGTTTAAAAAAACTACTCCTCAAGGCGGTGAGGCGTACGCCTCAGAGCGAGGCGTTTAATTTTTGCAATAAAGCGTAACCCTCATTCAAATAATAAAAAGTTTGCCTTTATTGGTTCGATGAAGCGCTGAGGTTTTCCTAAGGTGTCGCCTTAGTGGTTGTCCATTAATTACGTCAACAAAATAGAGGGGATGGGTCGTAAACTTTTTTGACAATTGTTGGCAAGGGGGAGGGGTGAAGGTCATTTAAAGTTGATGTCAACAATTTTTTTTTTCTGTTTCATTGCTTAAATAACGGAAAATTAGGCTGAGCTTGTATCGTAGCTTCTTTGTGTAGGGAGGGATGGGAGGTAATAAAAATTAACGTAGCCTTATAGGGGGGCCTCTGACAAATTTTCAGGAGGGGAAGATAAAAATTTCAAAAATATTGTTGACGTGATTAATAGACAGGGGCTGTCCATTAATTTCGTCAACAATTTTTTTGAAATTTTTACGTTACCCTTCTGAAAATTTGTCAGAGATATTTTTACAATGAACCTAAAAAGGCCACGTATGTCGCACGTGAACTTTGTTTTCTCTTATAAGGGCATTATTGTCCAATTCCGGCCCCCAAAACCCTCCACTGCAAGAAACCCTCTGTCTGGTCTTCTGCACCATCTTCTTGTTTTCTGCGCTGCATCGAGCTTCGATTTTGGGCTGCTTGTAGCTCATCGTATTGCATCGAAATCCGCTTCGGCCATCGACTCGTTTGCTTCAAACGTTTTTAAGCAATTTTTTTAGTCCTAGGAATGCGTTTAGAGTTAGTAATTACGAAACAGACAACATAGTTAAACTCAATTTGAATTAGTGCGTTCATATGGAACGCATTATAAAAATCGATTAATTGAAAGCTAAAGTAAGACTTTAAAAAATATTTTAATTTATAGAGTTCGTTTTGAGACTTTGATAATATTTTGTTATATACATAAATTATTATAAACAAAATATAGTTTAGTCGTCGTATTTTTACTTTTATTAATAAAATGACTGTATTATAATGATAATTGTGGATTTAATAAAATTTATAAATATATATCTAAATTATATATTCTGACATTGTATAATTAAATCGTATCTTATATTCCTTTGCCCGTATAGTTGTATTAACTAATCAATAAATTCATTACATGGAATTGTATAATCAATTGCAACTCGCTTTGATTGATCATTTCTTTTTTTTTCTTTACTATTTTATAAATTTACAGCTTTAAAAATTTACAGCTTGTTTGTACAAATAATATTGTTTTCATCTTACATACTTTTTCTATCCTTTTTTTTATAAAAATTACTACTTTAACCTTTTTTTTTTATATCCTATCTCATCTGAAGCCATAAGATTTAATTGTAAGGTTCAACCTCTAATGGTCCTCAATATATGATCTATCATTTAACGAGGATCCACCATCATTTAACGAGGATCAACGAGTAAGCTCATCCGCTTTCTTAAGTACTCGAAAATTCTCTCGACAGACCTGCTGCATACCTCATAACATTATGTTATGAGGTATACAGCAGGTCTATCGAGAGAAATTTCGGGCAATGAAGAAAGCGGATAGGCTTCAGTGGATAGGAGGAAACGTTTTAACTAAATAAACTTTTTGGCAATGTGTTTGCTTTTTTTTTTTGTTTGTTTTGTCTTTGCATTTGATTTTCATAAATACATGCATACAGGGCCGTTCGCACAGCCGCATAACATGCATACAGGGCCGTTCCGAGTTGAATAGGGTTCTGCGATAATTAAAGTGTAAACGTGATTGTACAGACTTTTATATCCTGCTTGGGAAACTCGTTCTCGCCCCCAAACTCGCGCCTATACCCGTGTGACTGAGGATCTTCAGTTCAACAAAAACCCTTGTATACTCTCGCTCTTGATGGGTAATTTTTTAAAAACCCCTTTATTTACAGCCCCAGTCCTAAAACTGTGATATCCGGCCCTGAATTACTTGAATAACCTTTATTAAAAATTTAAATTGCAATCATTTCAAATATTTTATTCTCACATTTTAACTAAATCGACTTTTAGTCGACTTTTCAAATATGTGCTAGTCGACTTTGATTGACTTAATATATTAAAATATATTAGTCGATATAGTCCACAGTCGAACTTTTCAATAGTTGTAACAACGCTAGTTTTTCTCAAGCAAAATAAGGCGTACGCCTCAAGCGCATTGAGGCTTACGCCTCGCCTCACATATAGGGAGACCGTCTCACACTTTTTTAAACCTTGCCTATAATATAAAAAAAAATCATAATTTTTTTAATTAAACCTGATTTTAAGCAAACATGAAGTCATTATTCCTAATACAAAACGCTAAATGCTCCCTAGTGGCTTAAACGTGGTTCAAAACAATCACATTAATCTTGAACATTGGCAATTAAGCTAAATGTTTAAAATGTCCGAATAAATTATTAAGTTGTAATGGCTTGTTAAGCAGTGAATTATAAGACATATGCAACATGTTCCGAACATTGATATCAAGAAAAGAAACTTAAATGACATTCAAATTTCTGGTTCAAGTAACTGTGAGACAATCCCTACAATAGCAATTAAGTCTATCCTTTTTTTTTTTTTCTAAGAAACAGTCCTTAACAGATATATTAGCTAGACTTGTGGCAGTTGATGGATTTTCAATTTACGGAATTTGCAAAAGTGAGTTTATTCGTCGAGCATTAAATGAAAAACATTATCATCTTTTATAAGGTAAAAACAATGCGATGAAACTAATTCATGATTATTGTGCTGTGGCAAAAAATAAACTTATTGTTGGAATAAAATCACATATAGAATAAAGTCAAAAAATTAGTCTGACGTTTAATGATTGTACAAGTCTACGCAATCGAAGATATTTGAATATCAATATTCATTTCAATAAGTTATTTTACTAATCTAGGACTGCACAGTGGGCCAGCAGTGAGCAAAAATTAAAAAAAATGAACAAAACCAACCTTTAACAATTCAAAAATTTTTAATCTTTTTTGAAAGTGAGTAACCTGAAGAAAATTTAAATGGTTGTAATATTATGTTTTAGTAAATAGAATTATTGTTAAATTGATTTTATAATGCATTGTCTTTAGAATCAAAATGTTGCTTTTTAAATATTATATATATATCCGATTCATAAAACTTTATGATAACATACTAAATTGAAGTTATTATCTACATATATATGTACATGTATTGTTGTTTTGTAATTGAATAATACATGGTAACATATAACTAATTATTTTGCAAAGTTATTTATTTATTTACGAAAGCAATAACAAATGGGGTCATAAGGAGCTACGTAGCCGAGTAACTAAACGTGTTATTAAAAAACTTGTAAAAACATGTTGCCAATATTTCTTTTTAATTACTTATGGGATGATAACAAAAAATATTTTATTAAAATTATCAGCCCCTGCGTGCCCCATAATATTCTGCATGGTAATTTGCGAGCTTCACGTGCTATTTCAAATGTTCTTTTTAACATGGTAGTTTTAATTGCATTTGTATAATAATTCATATAGTATATGCAGATGCTAAATTTATTTATCACGTATTATTTTATTATACTCTGAATGAAATGTACATAAATAAACACTATAATTAAAGTTTATTTTGACTAGTTTTATCACTCACAAATGCGTATGATACATGCATGTACGTAAAATGGCAGAGTATGTTCTATACCATTTTGTGAATGGTATAATAAACAGCTGTATCAGAAATTTAGAAAGTTATGTAACGTCTTATCGATAACAAATTTATAAAGTAAAGCAGATTGTAAAAGTTGTGCGTATACTGTAATTAGTTTTATGACAAAGAGATTTTGAAAATTGCATAATTGCTTGCGCTCCAACTTATTGTTAATGTGTGCAATACTCAAAGATGTAATTGTTGTTGTAAGCTCTTGAAAGATGAATGATTAAATAATTTTTATTGTTTATTACGTAAATTTGACTTTAATGTTTATACTGCGTTATATTGATATCGCATTTTAATGATATTAGGCGGTTTATTGAGAATAAGTTTGTATACACGGAACGGCATCATTATCGCTTGCTACTATTTGTTGGTTAGTTGTAAATGAAGAACTTTATAGCTTAAAAAGTTGCATCATATAAGTTGAAGGTTAATTATAAAATTTATTTGCAATAAATTATATTGTCTGATTTCTAACTTAAGTTTATTTTAATCAAGAAACTAATAATGGAGAATAATACAAACCCAAAAGATGAATTGATTCTAAACAACACTCTTTTTGACTTTTTACGGAAATCAGTGAAATATGGAAAGTTAAGTGCTTTATTTGATTCACGAAATAAGAAACTTCTGTCTGCCTTCCTTGTGTCTAAATACTCCAGTTATGGTATTGACAACAGCATTATTAAGAAGACTATCAATTTATTTTTACTTAATTTAAATACCAAGTGGAAAACAGCATTTAGGACTTTTGGTAGTTTTGTTCATCAAAATTTTGTTTGACTGTCACAACCTGCCATTAAAATGCTTGCTTCAACTTTAGTTGCATTTTCTACTTTTACACGAAATTTACTTACTTCTACTTTTACACGAAACATGAACTTTATAATGAGCCTTCAACTTCCACAAATGTATCATCATCTTCCTCATTTACCTCTAAAAGCGGACGTCCAAAGATTCCCAAGGATGAAGGAAGTTTATTTTCTAAAAAAAGAAGGTCCTTAGAACTTGCTACATCTCATTCAACT